ACGAAAGGAGAATGCGACCACACAAAAGGTCACACCATCTTGGTCTTCATACCTACGATTAAGGACATTTATATCTAGCAGACATTGTGGAAGCCCTTCTCTGACTGACCTACAGAGACTGTCACATGGTTACAGGAAGCAGAAACCAACTGGCTGGATATGATGAATTGGCCAGTTCTTAACTCTTACCTCTTCGGCCATAGTGACAAATCTTATATGGAGACTCGTCTGGAATCCAGATGATTGGGTCTACTAAAAGGGAGTATACTAATGACAATAAATGATCGGAAAATGACTTTAAGGGAGGGGGACTTGCGAGGATGCTAATGTATGAAAGCGAAGTGCTGTGGCGAAGATGGGCAAGCTACAATCTAATCTCCATCGCTTCTGGCGAAGCTACCTATCTGGAATGCCCTAATAGCGACAGAAGAGATTTGACCCTTCTAGCAACGGAACTTATGGATGCTGGATTCTGTTCGTGCGTATGTGCTGATGCTTGGTTCTTTTTTGCCCGGTCTAGCAAGCCGACTCGACTTTCCGGTCTGGAAGAGGAAAAGGGGCGGAGACAATTGCTCAAAGACGACCTCTTGTAAGGAAAATCAGTGGCTCTCGTGGAAATGTCGTAGTCACCCAATAAAGAGACTAAGCGTAGCTTGTGTTTCGACGCAAGGTGAGCTTGCAAGTAAGGCTAGATCCAACTACAAAAAGCAGTACTTTACAGGTTTTTCCGTCCGTCCACCAAAGACACTCTGAGTCGACTTCGGTGGCTATGAAATGCTGTTATATAATTCTGTTTAATTCGGTTTTCTCAGTAGATTGTCAACTAATGAATTCACTCTGTTCACTTCAGTCTGTGTGATAGGACCGATAATCCCGCCTACCCAGAATGGGCTGTGACACTTTTTCGTAGCTTCCTTCCCATCCAAATAGGTACATGTGAGTCCAAGTTAATTGGATTTAACAATTATCCCTGACAGTTGAGAAGTTGGAAGAGAGTTATTTCTTCGATAATTGGCTACTACAAGCATAGCTCTTGACAAGAGGGATGCAATAAAATATTGGTCTTCTTGCTTTGTAGGTTTGAAATGGGAAGTCACTGAGAGAATAAAAGCTTTTAAGCAGAACTCCCTCTATTTCATGTCAATTATGCCGTCCATAGTCTGACCGCCTATGTGAAAGTGTGGAGACCTATGAACTCCATGCAAAAATGTCCGCTTCACTCTTCCGTCGCCTGCCACTTAAAGCAGTGGATAAGTGAACTAGCGGTACCCTAATTAGTTTAATTCCGTCCAGGAAATAATAAAGCATTGCATGCCGATTACTGATGTATAGACTGCGATTTGGGCTCTGTGATCGGGATGAGCCGGAATAACCTCGGAGATGAGAAGTTAAGGTTCCCTGAATGCACGGAGGTTAGAACCTCCGAAGCTGCGGCTGGGCCAGTCTGTATGTGAAGGTAAAACATTAGCTAGCCTAAGGCGCTCAAGATGATTTCAGTTGTGATAGTGAAGTTTTCACCCACGATTATATGAGTAAGCGCTTTGGCCTTGCCCCCAAATTATGTTCTCATCCAGGCTTGACTGAAGATTCTACCTCGTCTAGGTCTAATTAGCACCACAA